AACGTGTTTGCTTGTAAGGCTATATAACTTGATTATAAAATATTTTAAAAACTCAATTGCAGCTGAATGTGTACAATTATAATCACACATAGTTGCAAGGTTTTATATCGTTGTATATTGGTATAACAGTTAATTTTCATCTTCCTTTTACTATAGACGAATCTACAAAATTCAATCTCTCTTCATCAATACACTTTCAATCGTCAAAGTTCGGCGTGGTCGAGTCGGTAAAGTTCATGGTTGCTAAACCGAAAAGTCTCGAGTTCGGACTCTCGGGCAGATGAGGCTCGTTAGCTGGGGACAGCCACTCTTCTAGGAGAGACAAGTCCAAATTCAAACAACTGCTGCCTTGTAGTTTGTTCTTGGTTGGACAAAGGCTATGGAAGCAAATCCAAAAAGAAAAGCAGGCTGAAATAGGAGTCAATGGCCTCAATGGCTCATAACCAGTTGACACGTATCCTTAATTGTGTTGGAGGGGGATACTTCCAACACTAAAATTAAGAACGAAGAAGAAGAAGAAGTGCTCAACAATCATCGAACGTATAACTATAACTATCCATAATTAATGAGAATGTTGTGTAACATTTAAATACTTTTAATTTAAAAATTCATTTGGAAACTATTAATCATGAGAAATCTGATCAGATCACGTGACAGTGAGAGAAGACCATACGCTGCTGATGTAGGTTGGAATCAATACAATGGTAGCTAAGCAACACACAACGAACAACGATGTATTTAATTTTCTTATTATGAAATAAAAATTCAGCTAGAAGATTTCGCACCCTTGCACTCAATACTTTAATGCTGCACGTATTTTCCTTTGGCTTTGAAAAAATTTAAAATAATACTTTAACCAAATAGTAACGATGTAAAAACTACGCATCTTATTAGGTTAAATAACTGTTAGATGCGATCATATATTTTTGAAATAGATGAGATTTGACAAAATATTAAGGCAACATGAATTTGATACTATCAAAACAGCGATGCATTTAATTACTTTATTATTAAGTTCAGCTATAAGATTTCACACCATTAAGCGCAATAATTTAAAGTTGCGCGTATTTATTTTTAGCTTTGTTTTTTTTTAAGCATAACTCCTATTAGGTGTAATACTAAATAAAAATTAATAAAATCAATTTGTATTTCTAAAGTTCAAATCGAAATAGAATGAAATCGTTTTTCTAACAAAAAGTTATTAATGTATTTAGTGTACTATAATGCTTCCACTTTACTATTTAACAAAACAAAATAAATGCTTACGTTTTATTACATCATTTAAACACCACACATTTCTTACATCATATTTACTTCATAATAATCTTTTTCTAGTGATTATGTTATCTAAGGTATGCAATTATCTAGAGACTTGAATAATCAAGTCAAAATAAACTACAATGAAAACTGTAATTCTAAAGCCAACATTGCATGGTAAACCTACGCTGAAAATTATATGTCTGAGAAAAAAAGTAAAACATAAACTGAACCGTATTCAATGACCCACTGTAACCCATATAGAGGAACAGTCAAAGTTTTCTTCTTCGGACGACACAACAGACCACACAAATCTTCAACTAAAGAGAAGAGCACAGAGAAAAAAAGGGAAATACAAAATCACAATCTAACAAAAAAATGCACGGAGGAAAAGAAAAGGCTTGTTACCGACAAAGATGAGTGGACCAAGGGACTACACACTACAAAGACTTGCTACTGACAAGATGAGTGGACCAAGGGACTACACACTACAAAGGCTTGCTACTGACAAGGATGAGTGGGCCTAGGGACTACACACTAGGAAGAAACAAACCGAACAGGTTTAGAATTAACAGTGTAGAGAATGCGTGAACAAAGTAAAGATCATCCGCTTATTTGCTCCTCCCTACATCTCCATCAAACTTCCTTTATTAGATCAAGTCAATTAATCCCCAAGTTTAAAACATTTTATACATCATGTTTTTACTTCTTTATATATTTTCAATTTTTTAAACTGTAACTTTTGGCTCTTCCATCTCAAAAGGTTGCCGACTCCTGATCTAGAGACTTGAATGATCAAGTCATTATTAAACTGAACTGTATTCAATGACACCCTTTCCCATGGGTAGGCAACCTTTTGAGAGGTAAGAGCCAAAAGTTACAATTCAAAAAATGTCCCAGTTTTTAAAGACCCCCTAACATTTTTATTTTTTGTATTTAATAAGATTAAAATAAGACAACACAGAAAACTGTCTTATAAATAGACAATATTCAAATTTATTTCAAGGCATGAAAATAAAACATTTCAACATCGAAATTTTAAATCATCATCCATGATAGCCTGAATGACTAAGTTCACTTTTCGTATTGTGCAATCAACGTTTAGCTTGAAATCAACGCTTAGCATTAAGTAAGTAGAAAGATAAACGGCATAAGAAGTGGACTGCATTCTATCATTTATCATTACTGATACATAAATATATGTTGATGAATAGCGAAAAAACAATATAATGTCCAGCTTTATGTAGCTTGTAGGTCACAACAGCTGACTAAAAATAATATTGAATCTTTAAAATGAGTTGTTTTTTTTTAGAAAATGTGTATCTTTATGTATTTTACTTTACTATGTGTTAAATATAAGCTGTAATAAGATATAAAATTTTCTAAATCTACTATTAACGTAAAATAAAACTACAAATGTATGTATAAAAAGAATGAAACAAACGGAAATTTTAAATGTATTAATTCTTATTCAGTGTATTTGGGAAAGATTTGTGAGGACTGCCCTAAAACATTTACAAAATATACGAAAAAATCTTCCTAAATATTTCTATTTTTTTACCGTCTTATATGAACTTTTATATCGATTTACAAGAAGGAATAATTTAAACAGCTGAAAATACGAATTTATTTATTATAGTGATAATAGTGAAATTCTGAGAAATGAAACTGGCATATGATTAATGTAACTAACATTGTGTATAACCGATCACATAAAAATATACACTAGCCTATAACTGAAATAAATAGGCCCATAACAGATATTAAACATACACAGGAACATAACTAACATAGGCATAACAAATCTGACATACATCATGCAGTCCGACATAACACCCTGGCCGGCAAGGTGTATAAAAAAACTACTATCAACTTTCCCCATTCTCAACCAATTTGTTTACGAATTTGACAAAATGCCTTGATAACAACTCAAGACATATAGTAAATATTGATTTTTTTTTTACTTTACGATTTTATGACAGAAAGAACAATATTTAAACGGATTCAGATGTTCGTGATTTCATTTGTATAGATACGACGCATATATTTTTCTTTAGTTTGTATATATAACTATATTCCATTAATTTTATAAATATTATATATATATATATATATATATATATATATATATATATATATATATATATATATATATATATATATATATATATATAATTCTCTTCTTGGAGACGCTAGAAAACAAGCTGTAAGCGCGCTCCCTACCACCCCACCCCTACATGGTCTGGTGCGCTTTGGTTCACGCTAAATGTTTACAATCGTAGAGCCGGGTTTAGCGACGATTACTAGGGGCAGATAATTTAGTTTGAAACGATTTTAAACTTAGGGGAGGTAACTAAGAGGAGGCTGCTTTCACGGGGAGGGGGGTGTAGGGGTGTAGGGGTTGGGGGAAAGAAGGGTGGGGTTAGTATCGTCCTTAACGACCTACTGATAGTATTTTAAAGCAAATATTTTCAGTGGCAGCATTGGTACTGTCGAATTCACAGATTATGAATTACTGAAAAGTAGAAAATAAAACAACTAAATAGCGGCGTAAGATATGCCGCGGGTCGGCTCGTTCATTATAATACTTAACAACACATCTTGAACAAGAATTAAAGAAATCACTTGAAATATAATCGATAGTGAATGACGTTAATCCTGATTCTATAATTGATTTTAATTTATAAAGACAATGGAAATAGTTGATAAATATTTCGTAAGTTTTGACATTTACACACATTTCACACCACTGTATTTTTTAATTAACTATGTACATATTGATAGCAAATGGGAAAGTATATCATTAGTTATTTCCCTTTCAACGCTTTGTTCTTCATTAAAAAACATTTTATTGGTTATTTCCCTTCGACCACCTTATTATGTTTGCATTGGAAAATATTTTATTTGTTGTTCCCCTTTGACCATTAGTGCAAATAGTGAAGGCAAACAAGTGTTTAATGAATTACTCCCCTTTGGTTGAATTCCAGGACTGATGTTGCTTTTCTTTTTCCTTTGAATCGTTCGATACAATGTTTAAACAGCAGATAATAGTACATCTTTAGCATATCTTGTTTATCAACATTTATTTAGTTATTGTCGTCATTATACATTTGATACGTGTTTTGAAATTGAGATATAAAAAGCTTTTTCAACAACAACCAAAAAAATAACTCAGTTACTAAGCATAACTATATAATCGTATAGTTTTATTGATCGCTTACCTCTATCTCTACATATCTACTATTACATTTAGCCTTTAGCAGTACCTCTTTCCGGCTTCCCCCCCCCCCCCTCCGCACCCACCAAATGAAATAGAAGTTTTGTAGTACATATATACTTTTACCAGTTTCTGCCCCCCCCCCTATACACACACACACCTCCACGGAAAATTTTATCCCTCCCCCTTCCCCCGCCCCGGGAGAAAAAAGAAGAGCTAGCATTTAGCTCAGATCATTATGCGCAGCTCCAGCCTAAAGAATGAGAGCTCAACAGATCCAATGGAACTTTTATTTCTATTCAAGGTCGAGTCTTTTATTTACCTTCTTATGAAGATCAGCCTTAAAATATGTTGGTTTTCGTTAGTTAAAATAATTAATAAGAAAAACAATGTCACCGGTTGGGATCAATAAATTACAAGAACAAAGAAAGACACAATTTGTGAACATTACTAAACTAGAATGTTGTGAGTTGAATGAAATGTCTAATTTTTTTTTAAAATTAATACAAGTACAAATTATGGACGCAATAACAACATAATGTAAATAATAAACAATTACAGGCGAATTGTAAAAAATCGTACGATTGTTTTCCATTGAGCTGTAAAGGTCAAGGTCATTCGAAGGTCAACGAGAAGCCGCATTGATACTCCGGTACTTGAAAAAAGTCAAGGTCGTTGACGAAGGTTATCTCAGGTTGACCCAGACGGTCACAGATGGAAGGGTCCATTAATGTCCAATAAATGGGGGGGAGTGGTTTTTCACTGACCTATGGGGTTAAGGTCGTAAATTCATCACGGAAAGTCTTCGGCAAAATAGGAATCTTCTGGATCCCATACGGCATGACGTCACAACATGTCATTATCCACAGGTCCAGCGTCGTATCGACGTCATCATCGTTCTCGTCAAACTCTTCTCCCGCCTACAACCAGGCCAGCGTGACGTCATCCGTCGGTGCAGCGTCAGTATGACATCATCAGGATCTCGTCACGTGTCCGCGTGCTGCCCACGGTGTAGCTGGTGACGCGCTCGTGCGTGAAGATCCGCCTCAGCTCCTTCCGGAACTTTTTTCCGGACAAAATGTAGATGAAAAAGTTGGAGGCGTAGTTGACATTTGAGATGGCCTGAAATCAGGTTAAACTCATTAGTTACACAGTTAAACTAATTAATTAGAGTTAAACTAATTAATTCAAGCAAATTATGTCAACAAATTAACGTAGCAATTGCAAAATGCGGGTAATTAATGTATTAATGAAATGATCTATCAACAAATTACAACCAATTAACATTCGCTATGCATAGATAACATAAATAGATTTGGGTTCTGTATTAGGCACGCTAGTTTGCTGATTATAACGTAGTGTTCACAAATTAAGACAAATGTTTACACGTTAAATATAAATATACACCACGATCAAATGGTAATGGTATTTTCAGAGGTAAGAACTGCCAGTATAAATACATGTAATAAATTAAAATGTAAGTTGCTGAAAGCTAATGTTAGTTTTTAGAAATATACAGATTTAAACATGTACTGTATCTGAAACTTTTTTTATCGGTATTACCTCCACTAAGACGATTGTTGTGTATATATATATATATATATATATATATATATATATATATATATATATATATATATATATATATATATATGTGTGTGTGTGTGTGTGTGTGTATATATACACACACACACACATATATATATATATATATATATATATATATATATATATATATATATATATATATATATATATATATATATATATATATATGGCACCCACCTGCAGGAACTCCATCCAGGGCACGGCCTGCACGAAGCCCTCGACAAAGTCCCTGTGGTACAACTTCAGCATGACGTGCACGAAGATGGTCAAGGTCACGTGGGGCAGGGCGGTCACGATGTACGTGAAGGAGATGGCCAGCAACATCCGGGTTGTTTTGCTGCGTCTCCTGGAACTTCCTGGCAAGTGAACAAAAAAAAGTTAACTTCGACATTGATGAGTGAACACTATAAGCCAATGTAAACAATTATGTACGACATTGATGAGTGAACACTATCAGCCAATCTAAACAATTATGTACGACATTGATGAGTGAACACTATCAGACAATGTAAACAATTATGTACGGTATTGATGGCTGAATATAAACAACCGATGATAACACTATAATAAACCGATTTCTAAATTTGATTAGTATAATCAAGTTCAAATGTGATTTTTCTGTAGATACTCATACACTTTGTAAGTAGAGAAATGTAATTTTTTAGACTAAAACACTATATGAATTTTTGAAAATGCCTGTTAGTTCAATATAATAAAAATTTCCTGATATAAATCACATGGATGCTGATGATTTAAATGGCATGAATGATGATATAAATGACATAATGGTGATATAAATTACATGAATGGTGATAAAAATGACATGAATGGTGATATAAATGTCATGAATGGTGATATAAATGTCATGAATGGTGATATAAATGACATGAAAGGTGATATAAATGACATGAATGTTTATATAACGGTATTAATGGATATAAATGACATGAATGGTGATATAAATGACATGAACGGTGATATAAATGACATGAATGTTAATATAAACGGCATAAAGTTTATATAAATTACATAAATGTTGATAAAAATGGCTTGAATATTGATATAAATGGAATGCATGTTGATATAAAGTTCATAAATGTTGATATAAACGATACAAATGTTGATATAAACGATGCGAATGTTGATACACCGTATAACGACGTACCAGTGAGACGTGTGGACGACGATTCCTCGTTCTGCGTCGCCCGCTCGACCTCCAGTATCCGCACAAGGACGCCGATGTTGCAGATGAGGACGATGGTGACGGGGGTGGTGAAGAGCAGGGCGAACTGGTAGACGTAGATGTGCAGCAACAGGTAGATGTTGTTGTCCACACCTGCACAGGTGTCGCCGTTGTTGCCCACCATCACAAACCTGCGGGGAGGTCATGGTTGGATTCATGGCACTAAGTTGGTTTTTAGGTAGATCTAAGCATGCTTGGGTTTTGGGAAGGTTCGTTCTATAGGCTTCAAGTATGTTTTAGATAGACTTATGCATGATTGTATTTTGGGAAGGTTCATTGTATTAAAGGATTCAAGTATGCTTTTGGTTAGATCTATGCCTGCTTAGGTTTGGAAAGGTTAGTTCTATAGGCTTCAAGTATGTTTTTATGTAGATCTATGTCTGCTTAGGTTTGGGAAGGCTAGTTTATAGGCGTCAAGAATGTTTTTGGGTAGATCTATGCCTGCTAGTGTTAGGGTTAGGGTTAGGGTTAGGGTTAGGGTCATTATGTTTCTCTGCGCATGATCCCTAACTGGGTTCGAGCACGTAGGATGTTCCTGAGTACACTCAGCTCTAATGGAGTCTCGGCATAGAAAAAGACTATATTTTCCCTTCGAATGATGAGGTCGCACAAACAGGTGAACTCTACTTCATCTGGACTATTGGTGACCAGAATGAAAAGGGTGACTACATTTTAAAAATATCTGTATACTAGTCTTTGTCACCAATCGTAAAGTCTATCTACAAAACAGAGACAAAGGCCTACTATTAGGATATAAAATTACTTGCAAAAATGCATTGCGGATGTAAACTAAAAATACTATCAGCTGATACATCTCTACGGAATAAAATATGAGTTTGCTTTAACAATGTATCACTATATAATTCTAACCATCGTGAGCGACAGATTTGAGCTGAGTTAGACAATTGTTTCACTGGAAGAGTTGCTTCGTAAAATTACTCTGTAAACCTACCCTGGTAAACCTACTCTGTTAACCTACCCTGGTAAACCTACTCTGTTAAACCTACCCGGATAAACCTACTCTGTTAAACCTACCCTAATCAGGTAAAAACTAATCTGTTAAAACCTATCCAGGTATACTTCGCTGTTAAACCTACTATGTTAAACCTATCATTCGTTCAAGTCAGTGCTGAGATTGGGTACAACAGTATTAGCGGGCATCAATCAGGTCTAGTCAAGTCCTGCTTCAGAAGGTCTCCGCTATAATCAGAGCAATGACTATCTTGTTAGAAGTACTGGCCCTGATTACTCATAGGGTAGAACTAGCAGGGATGTCAAAAAGGAAGTACTGGTGATGTGTACTAGCAGACAGTACTGAAGATGTGTACTAGCAGACAGTAATGAAGATGTGTACTAGCAGGCAGTACTGAAGATGTGTACTAGCAGGCAGTACTGAAGATGTGTACTAGCAGGTGGTACTGGTAATGTGTACTAAAAGGCGGTAGTAGTGATGTGTACAAGAAGACAGTATTCGTGATGTGCGCTATAAGTCAATACTAGCAGACTGTACTAGTAAACGCTGTACAACTAGCTTTAATTGGAAGCTGTTTAATATCTTTGTGTACAAAAATATTTCATAAAGCATATTATTAGAAAGATTTGATAGTAAGAATTTGTGTATTCGAGACAATATATGAATATTCCGTTCTTTTCGATTGATTGATGAGCAAATATTCTAGAGCAGTTCATGTCTAATTAGATATTTACCTGAAGACCTGTATGCAGGACATGACGCAGAACAACGAGATGATAATGATGACGGCACCCCGCTGTTGGCACCACATGTTCCGTCTAAAGGGCATGTACACCACACAGAAGCGTTCTATCGCCATGGCAACGATCAGCCATGATGACATCAGGTTACAGACGGAGCCATGGCAACGATCAGCCATGATGACATCAGGTTACAGACGGAGTCGGCAAACAGCAACATCTGGGAACAGAGCAGTTGGTGAGTTGGTTGGTGAGTTGGTGAGTTGGTTGGTGAGTTGGTTGGTGAGTTGGTTGGTGAGTTGGTTGGTGAGTTGGTTGGTGAATTGGTTGGTGAGTTGGTGAGTTGGTTGGTGAATTGGTTGGTGAGTTGGTTGGTGAATTGGTTGGTGAGTTGGTGAGTTGGTTGGTGAATTGGTTGGTGAGTTGGTTGGTGAGTTGGTGAGTTGGTTGGTGAGTTGGTGAGTTGGTTAGTGAGTTGGTTGGTGAGTTGATGAGTTGGTTGGTGAGTTGGTTGGTGAGTTGGTTGGTGAGTTGGTTGGTTGGTGAGTTTGTTGGTGAGTTTGTTGGTGAGTTTGTTGGTGAGTTGGTTGGTGAGTTGGTTGGTGAGTTGGTTGGTGAGTTGGTTGGTGAGTTGGTTGGTGAGTTGGTTGGTGAGTTGGTTGGTGAGTTGGTGAGTTGGTTGGTGAGTTGGTTGGTGAGTTGGTCAGTTGGTTGGTGAGTTGGTTGGTGAGTTGGTTGGTGAGTTGGTGAGTTGGTTGGTGATTTGGTTGGCAGTTGGTGAGTTGGTTGGTGAGTTGGTTGGTGAGTTGGTTGGTGAGTTTGTTGGTGAGTTGGTTGGTGAGTTGGTTGGTGGGTTGGTTGGTGAGTTTGTTGGTTAGTTGGTTGGTGAGTTGGTTGGTGAGTTTGTTGGTGAGTTGGTTGGTGAGTTAGTTGGTGAGTTGGTTGGTGAGTTGGTTGGTGAGTTTGTTGGTGAGTTTGTTGGTGAGTTGGTGAGTTGGTGAGTTGGTTGGTTTGTTGGTTGGTGAGTTGGTGAGTTTGTTGGTGAGTTGGTTGGTGAGTTGGTTGGTGAGTTGGTGAGTTTGTTGCTGAGTTGGTTGGTGAGTTGGTTGGTGAGTTGGTGAGTTGGTTGGTGAGTTGGTTGGTGAGTTGGTGAGTTGGTTGGTGAGTTGGTTGGTGAGTTGGTGAGTTGGTTGGTGAGTTGGTTGGTGAGTTGGTTGGTTTGTTGGTTGGTGAGTTGGTGAGTTGGTTGGTGAGTTGGTTGGTGAGTTGGTTGGTGAGTTTGTTGGTGAGTTGGTTGGTGAGTTGGTTGGTGAGTTGGTTGGTGAGTTTGTTGGTTAGTTGGTTGGTGAGTTGGTTGGTGAGTTTGTTGGTGAGTTGGTTGGTGAGTTAGTTGGTGAGTTGGTTGGTGAGTTGGTTGGTGAGTTTGTTGGTGAGTTTGTTGGTGAGTTGGTGCGTTGGTGAGTTGGTTGGTTTGTTGGTTGGTGAGTTGGTGAGTTTGTTGCTGAGTTGGTTGGTGAGTTGGTTGGTGAGTTGGTGAGTTGGTTGGTTTGTTGGTTAGTGAGTTGGTGAGTTGGTTGGTGAGTTGGTTGGTGAGTTGGTTGGTGAGTTTGTTGGTGAGTTGGTTGGTGAGTTGGTTGGTTAGTTGGTTGGTGAGTTGGTTGGTGAGTTTGTTGGTGAGTTGGTTGGTGAGTTTGTTGGTGAGTTGGTTGGTGAGTTAGTTGGTGAGTTGGTTGGTGAGTTGGTTGGTGAGTTTGTTGGTGAGTTTGTTGGTGAGTTGGTGAGTTGGTGAGTTGGTTGGTTTGTTGGTTGGTGAGTTGGTGAGTTGGTTGGTGAGTTGGTTGGTGAGTTGGTTGGTGAGTTGGTTGGCAGTTGGTGAGTTGGTTGGTGAGTTGGTTGGCAGTTGGTGAGTTGGTTGGTGAGTTGGTTGGTGAGTTTGTTGGTGAGTTGGTTGGTGAGTTGGTGAGTTGGTTGGTGAGTTGGTTGGTGAGTTGGTCAGTTGGTTGGCAGTTGGTTAGTTGGTTGGTCTACACAATGGGACAGAACATTTGTCGGTCTACACAATGGTAGACATGTGTTGGTCTACACAATGGGACAGAACATTTGTCGGTCTACACAATGGTAGACATGTGTTGGTCTACACAATGGGACAGAACATTTGTTGGTCTACACAATGGGACAGAACATTTGTCGGTCTACACAATGGTAGACATGTGTTGGTCTACACAATGGGACAGAACATTTGTCGGTCTACACAATGGTAGACATGTGTTGGTCTACACAATGGGACAGAACATTTGTTGGTCTACACAATGGTAGACATGTGTTGGTCTACACAATGGTAGACATGTGTTGGTCTACACAATGGTAGACATGTGTTGGTCTACACAATGGTAGACATGTGTTGGTCTACACAATGGTAGACATGTGTTGGTCTACACAATGGGACAGAACATTTGTTGGTCTACAGTCTACACAATGAGACAGAACATTTATTGAATGTGTTGGTCTACACCGTGGAGCGGCATGGCCAAATGATAGAGCGTTTTGCTGCTATTCTAAATGACTATAGTTCGAAAATAAGCTTGTGTCAGCAGGACGCCTATGAGTCCACCTAGCTCTATTTGGTACCTGACTTTATTGGCGGCTTGACGTAGTGCCAAGTTCAAGAAAAATTAAACTCTACCTCATCCACACAATTGATCGCTAGGTCTAAAGAGGAATTTTACTTGGTCTACAACATAAGAATGAAAATGTATTGAGGTTTTTCTTTTTTTTCTGTATAACGTTTGTCAGCAACATCCTTGGAACAAAACATGTTTTGACAACACAATGGGATAGAACATTTGTTGAAGAACTTTGTGTACCATGTTAACAAATCGATCAGCTTACTTGTGTTGTCGTGTATTGATTAACAAATAGAACGAATACAATGTCAAATGTATCACTCATCACACGCTTACCTAATACACGCAACGCTAAACTCAATGCTGTAACTATAACCCTAGGAGAACTCAAATCCAAAAAGGAGGGGGGGGGGGGAATTCCGTATGCTTGTTTTACTGTAATCTTATCGAATATTTTTCAATAACGAAATTTCGAACAATTTGTATTTTTATTTTCTGTCTTGTGGCGTGTTTTGTGAAAATCGCGATTCCTTTTTATGAAATAAAACGACACAATAGAATGCATGTGTGTTAATAGAATCATCAATCAAGTTACTGTTTTTAATCACGCTATGTTTAATTAATCGGATTAACAACCATTTATCTAAATATGGATGTTGTTTGCATTTTAGTGCCAGTAATGGTATTTTTTATAACTGTGTGTCAAATAAGGCCCAATATTCATCTATTTTCTTCCTAATGTGGCGATTTACTTCTAAATGCGTGCCCGCTATGGGACCTTAAATATAATCCCAAACCCTGATTAATATCTCTTAATCTGTGTCCCGATTGTCTTCATCCCCCTAACAGAGCGATAACATTTTTTTTAACTGTCTAGCCCGGCTACATTCGATAGAATCGTTAGCATAAAAATTGGAAATAGAAACAGAAAGAAATACAAACAGAAAGAAATAGAAATGAATTGAAAGGAATCCATCCCTGATATCTAACGCTAGAATCAGATAAAGTGAATTTTTTTTTATTAATTTCTTCTAAAAACCGTAGATATTTATAAACAAATGCGTTATTTAATAGCAACGCACGCAGTGTTTTTCTGGCAAGATGAAAGGAGACGAAAGCTGGCCAGATAAATGTTGCAAGATTAGAGATTTAAATCAGCCAAACTTGTGATCCAGTTTAGCCTTTAATTTTGCTAAAGCATTGATCCAGTGTGCGGTAAGCCATACATATATCGTATGGTTCTGCGCAGAAATGTAAGACGCATACGATTGCCGTTCATCAGTCTAGATGAAGTTTTTGGGGATTCTTCTAGAATTGTTATATTTTGTCGATAAATTTATGAAATAAAAAATTAAATCAAAGCTTTTAATGGATAAAATATTCAGCCTAATTAAAGGGCACATTTTTAAAAAGTATGTAATAAGACAAGTAAATATAGATATCATTTTTAGTAGATGTCGGCACTATAGTGGTTATACAGCTATAAGTAATATAGCTGTAGCTGTATGGATAATAGATTATAACTGCATCTTTATAGATATTAGTTAAATAGAGACAGCTATACATCTAATAGTGATATAGCTACAGCTATGTTCAGAGTTTCTTCCAGCCATCTCTTCGCGGGGGTGAAGCCCCCCCGAAATTTTTTTACCGCCCCCCCCGAACAAAATGAAATTTATATAATTTATATAGAAAATATATACTTTTAACAGTGTCCGCCCCCCCCCCCCCCCCGAAGAAATTTTACCGCCCCCCCCCCCCCCCGAAAATTTCAAGTGCCCCCCCGGAGAAAAAAGTCTGGAAGAAACACTGGCTATGTTAGGCTTAAAATATGTTCCTTGTAATGCCAGCTATAAAATCAGTGTGATAGGTGAAGCGATAAAGTTAATATAGCAGTAGCTACACAGCCCAGTGTGATATGGCTGCAGCAATACAGCAAAATGTGAGAGCTCTAGCTGTTGTTTACCTTGCAACTCTCGTGAGAGAAGTTGTAGAACAGGCCGTGTTGGTTGTACATCAGGCGCAGCATCTCGTCGATCACGTGCAGTTCCAGACTCACCAGAACGAGGCTGAAATGAGACAGGTAGAGTCGAGAGTCAGTCTACAAACGAGACAGATAGAGTCTAGTCACTCGTCAAATAAGACAGGTAGAGTCGAGAGTCAGATGAGATGAGTCATCAGTACGGCGTCACGTACAAACGAGAGAGATGAGTCATGATATAGTCGTCAACTCCATATTGTGTATTTTTCCTTTTGTCTTGACTTGTAAGCAAGTATCTCACACATTGAATAGCATGAAAGTATATGAGGTAGATAGCAAGTATTTAAAGTGTACCTAGCATGTATTTAAAGTGTAGCTAACAAGTAGCTAAGTTGTAGCTATCAAGTTCCTAGTGTAAAACTAATATTTCTTTCAAAAGAAAACTCTTCTGGCCCGACACCATCAGCAGCGTTCAACTATGACAACAGGATAACTTGCAGCTAAAGAAGAAATAAAGTAAAGAAGATGGGGTTGGATAGTACACACAACGCACAGATCGCCAACCAACATCACCAGGCAGGCATTGAGGTGGAACTCTTGAGATCTTTGGTTTGGCGGCCCATACCCCAGCAGGACAGAGGACTCTGGAGATCTTTGGTTGGCGGCCCATACCCCAGCAGGACAGAGGACTCTGGAGATCTTTGGTTGGCGGCCCATACCCCAGCTGGACAGAGGACTGGAGATCTTTGGTGGCCCATACCCCAGCAGGACAGAGGACTGGAGATCTTTGGTGGCCCATACCCCAGCAGGACAGAGGACTGGAGATCTTTGGTGGCCCATACCCCAGCAGGACAGAGGACTGGAGATCTTTGGTGGCCCATACCCCAGCAGGACAGAGGACTGGAGATCTTTGGTGGCCCATACCCCAGCAGGACAGAGGACTGGAGATCTTTGGTGGCCCATACCCCAGCAGGACAGAGGACTGGAGATCTTTGGTGGCCCATACCCCAGCAGGACAGAGGACTCTGGAGATCTTTGGTTGGCGGTTGGTACCCCAGCTAGAGTGACGTGCAGCGATGATGATTATAAATATCTTTAAAAGGCCTATTAAGTATCTACAGTGTTCTTAGCAAGCTCCTTAAAGTAGATAATGTAAGTCAAAGTCTCTCTTTGACTAGGTCGATTAAAGCTAATCCCGTTTACATTTACATCAAAAGTACATTGTGTTCTATATTTTCGCCTATCCTCTTTATCTGTAATTTCTCTCTCTCTGTATCTCTCGCTCTCTCGCTCTTTTTCCCCCTTTATCTCTAGTAATCTCCCGCTCTCTCTAACTATCTTTTACTATCTCTCTAGCTATCTCTATCTCTTTCTCCCTCTCTCTCTCTCTCTCTCTCTCTCTCTCTCTCTCTCTCTCTCTCTCTCTCTCTCATTAATCATTGATTTTTCTGACTGGCAAAAGGACTTTAAAAAGTGCACACAATCATCGAAAACTATTGGGAAACTTTTATTTCTGGTTCACTCCCCAACCCTACTTAAAAACAAAATCGATGATTTGTTTCGCTCCTAGGGGATCAATTATTTTTATTATTAAATCTGGTCCGAAATAAGGGTCAAAAAGTTGCTCACGTCAGACGTTGAAGAATTGGTTCCATCTTGGAGGAACCTCAGAAAGTTGGGTGAGAGTCCCTGTCTAGTCGCATGGGCGGTTACAGTTTGTCATTGTCTGGTTGGGGTCACTGGGTGCAAAGATACCCCCCCCCCCTCCACCATTCCGCAAAGACTGGGCCTTTAATTTATGGTGTGATTGTGTGTATTGTTGTTATAGCACGTGATAGTAAATGCGAGTTAGTTGATTAGTGAAATGGTGCATTGGGATGTAAGTGTATTAGGGCTTTGGTGGGTTAGCCCCTTTGTATATTAATGCATATGTGAATTAGTGTAGTGAGGCGATATTAAGTTAGGGTATTGATGAAATTTTGAATTATTGTTTAGATGCAATGTTAAGTTAGTGTATTGATGTTTTGGTGAATTAGTGTATTGATACTCTAGTGAATTCGTATTTTGATGCTCTAACTTTGTGGAATAAGTTGTAAAATGCGATACGGTGAAATTTGGACCGAACCACTACCTACAAATCTCAGTGCTGATGTTCAAATCAAGTATTATAACCCTATGGAATAAGAAGGCGAGTCCAACAATTTGACTTTGGCATATTTTACCAATGTGAGGTTCTCAGTTTAAAATAACCACTACCGAACAAGCCAATCAAAATTTAGTCAGGTCCACTTGGTATTTAATACCTTATATAGAAACGATGCTACGTAGTTTAAATGATGGTATCGTTTGAGTTTGTATCGGTTATTCGATACCTTTCGCTTGACAAATGGGTAAAAACACGTTTTGATATTTTATGTGAATCATTTTCTACATGAAATGGTATTGTTATATCACACGTGAAGAGGGTTACGCTAAAATGACACTTATATAAATGGATTTTCTAAAAGTTCAAAAAAAGTATTCTCAATGCAGTAAAAGGCATACAAGATTTTCAAAACTTAATGTATTATTTAAGAGATTGTAGATTGTTCTTCTTAAAACTTTATTATGATAATTGTGTTAATCAGTAAACTATAGAAAAGGTGAGCTTAAAATGTTGAAGGCTATGTGTATTCTATCTCTAAAATTTGTATCGTGTTTCATCGCATTTTTGGAAACGAACTACCTTGTTAAGCGTGTATTGAGACTACTGCTACACTTCTATAGACTAACTACCTGATAAAGTGTGTTTTTCATCCCGTCACAATTGTATAAACTAACTACCTTATAAATGTATTTTAAGTAATGTCATACTACTGTAGACTAACTACCTGATTCAAGTGTATTTTAAGTAATGTCATACTACTGTAGACTAACTACCTTGTCAAAGAGTATTTTAAGTAATGTCATACTTCTATAGACTGAGTACACCTACACTGGTGTTTACCTATGCTGACGACCTGGCATAACGGTCAAATGTACCTTCCCCTACAGGTCAAACTCGCCATGTTGTTTACTAGTATCTTAACGATCGAAATAATTTTACATTCTTGTTTTTTTTTTCAAATCATTCAATCTCCACCTCTGGAAGACCTCAAGCTTATCAAATAGATAAATGACTTATTTAGAATTGCGAAAATAAAAATCTTCATCTTTATAAAAAGCCAATTACTGCAGTAAAATATGACCGGGGGCGTTTTCTAGATTAACGAGGTAAAATTTTGTAAAAAAAATAAAAAAAATTCGTATACTCTTTTCAAGGGCATTAGCTCTGAATGTATTTTGATTTCGCTAGCTACTCTGTTGATTTGCTTCCTAAACGTCAGCATTGTTTAGCGTGGATAGTCTGATGTTAGTAGCCTTGCAAAGTCCCAAGTGAGAAGATATTTTCGGCATTCATCTCCGGATCTTGAGGGTTTTTTTAACGTTGGAGGGAGATAATAAGTCCGTAGGAAATAATGGCAGGAGTTATCGATCGAATCGTGTGGAACCTAAAATTAAAATTACTAGCGTAGGACAAAGTCACACTAGTGCACTGTCGTGGAAAAAAACTTTAAAAGAAACACAAGTTACATTTTCCGTTGTTTTTTTCTTTTTCTTTTTTTAAACTAACTAGGCAGCGTTTCATTTATACTGAAACGGCATGCCAGCATCTAGCTAAATGGAAGCAATCAGATTCCAGAAATGTTTTATTTTGTCTAAACTAATAAGTATCGACGAGTATCCAAAGTTGATTAGACACGCTTGTACAAATTCATTCTTTTTTTAATACTAAGCCGATAAGAATGTATTTTAAAGTTATAAAAAGTCGATTTCAACCTTTTTTTTATTTGTACAATTTTTTGTTAAATTTGACACGCGAATTTATGGTTGAAACATTTGTATAGATTTACAAGACGCGGATCCTTTAAAAATAACACAAATAAAAATTAACCCACTACTTTTCGCAAGATTGGATTTGCGTGTTTTCCAACGAAAACGTTAATCTAATAACGAATTGTCTTACTTCAGAGAACTTGAAATTTATTTTTTCTTCATGAAATTTGACGACAGTGTTTACAAGTTGACCTCGTGGGGTGAGGCTGCTATTACCAACTTACACAAACTCCGTCTGAATGTATGACGTTCCTATTTGTTGCGGACCTATCGACCTAACTTGCTCCACCAATTCTCATGATGAGACGGGTGTACGGCGGGCGTGGGTAGATTAGAATGTCAGTCTAAACAGCGCAGTGTTTTGTCAAAATGCGTGGATGGGTGTTATAAGGTGAAGTCTCTTCACGAAAGTGATGTTGTGTTTACATGCATTGGCGTTGTGGTTAATGTGATGGCGTTGTGTTTACATGTAGTTGCGTTGTATTTGAATGTTGTTGTGGTGTGTTTTTATGCTGTGGCGTTATGTAATTGTATGTTTTGTATTTACGCGTAGTGGCGTTGTGTTCACAAGTAGTACCGATGTGTTTACATGTAGTGATGGTGTGTAGTGTCATATTTACATGTAGTGGCGTTGTGTAGTGGTGTTGTGTTTACATGTAACTTATTTCTCAGCTATGTTTGAGTGTCAGTGTCTACATATATAGCCCCTCTATTTTGTTGTCAGTGCTTCAGGAATGTTTTAGTTATATAGGCCTTTAGTAGGCCTACACTCATTTAACACAAATTACTTGTATAAATCGTTAACACGCTGGGGCTCAAAAAAAAGAGATGCCCAAAATAGATTCAAGGGAATAACGACTCACATACAAACAGAATACAACAAAGGTTTTACTAAATGTGATTTGTTTATTAACTTTAATGTAAAAAAATCTTCCTAATGCTTACCAGTCTTTAAAATTGCAATTTACGTTTCGATTTTTATCTCTAAGAATCTAATTTCAAACATCATTAATTTTAGATTCATATTTAAGAGACATTTTTTTGTATATTGTATAGGGTTCTCTCTAATATCATTTTAAATGCTTGCATATACACATTTATAAACTTTAAAATAATTTTTTTTCTATATTAAATTACAGGTGCCATTTAGATAACTACTATAACCATAATGTCTTTAGTACTTTAGTTAAAACTTAATTAAAATTGAGACTTCGATTTGGTAGAGAGTTACTATAAACTAGTCCCAGGTGTTCAACTTACCTGTCGAAAACAGCGAGAGCGCTCAGGTAGTGCGAGTAGGATTTGTACCTGAGCCGAGGGGTCTTCATGACCATAAAGGTCAGGGTGTTGGCTACCAGGCCTATGACCACGATGATGTGGGTGGAGATCATCTTGACCAGACGACCCCATTCGGCCGTGTCGTGTTGAATATCTGAAGGGAAATAAATAGTGTTAGGACTTTATGGTATATGGAATGGCGTGGTTGGGTGGTAGAGCGAACCTATTGGTAACCCGTTTCTCGATTTCGGACTACATGTATGAGTCCGTAAAACGTTACTAGGTCCTCCTAACTCTAATGGGTAGTTGACTAAAGCTGTAGGAATAGTGCTTATCATACGATCCATGTATATACAGAGGGCAAGAAAATAGATACATCTACTTCATCTGTCCCGTGTGTATTATGCACTGAAAAGATGACTGCTGTAAGATACAAAAATAAAGACACGGCTCATTAAGAGGCTCAGGATATAGTTGTTTTTTTTTGTTTTAGGTTCTGAGTTTCCGCTTTCAGCTTATGGTTTAGTTTCGTTTAGTATCAACGTAAGTTACATTTTAGTTTAGTTTTAGGCTTAGGTTTAACTGCCTCAATTTGGGAAGTGAGAAAAAAAAATAATTGAAGCCCAGGTGCGCGGACCTTTGACCACAGGTGCTTTGACCATAGGGGGTTTGACCATAGGGGGTTTGACCACAGCGGAGCTTTGACCATAGGGGCTTTGACCATAGGGGGTTTGACCACAGCGGGCCTTTGACCATAGCGGTGCTTTGACCATAGGGGGTTTGATCATAGGGGGTTTGACCATAGGGGGTTTGACCACATGTGTTTTCTCAGCAGAGGGTCTTTGATCACAGGTGGTCTATCAGCTGGTGTTTGATCACAAGCGCTGTGTCCGGCTTTGATTATAGGTGTGATACAATTAACACGATTTTATACATTTTTCCTGAGAGTACAATAATAGAAATTAACATGTATTTAAAAAAAGCCAAGAACTATATTTTAGTCTCCACATAAAGGCCTCATAGATTTATTTTAAATATAAATGAAACACAAATAATGCGACATATAACAAGTTTCACAAATAAATAATGTAGATGCACTTGAAAATACATAGCATATATAAAGGATAAAAAATTATACAAAACTTGCCAACAATATAGTCAAAGATGTAATACATAAAATGGTTAACTAAATGACAGATGTGCTATAGTACGCAAATATGTCAGTACATATGTTTGACCATATGTCTGGACAGCACGTTGTACTTTTTCGTGCAGCATCTTGTATCGCTTCTCAGCTGGGTAGCTTGCATGTCGAAATTTAAAATATAATTTAGCAACTTTTAAAATAAATCCTTACCATATATGGACAGCATTGGACAAATCACCTGAGATCAAAGACCCTATGTGGACAAAACACCTATGATCAAAGCCGGACGCAGCGCTTGTGATCAAACACCAGTTGATAGACCACCTGTGATCAAAGACCCTCTGCTGAGAAAACACATGTGGTCAAACCCCCTATGGTCAAACCCCCTATGATCAAACCCCCTATGGTCAAAGCACCGCTATGGTCAAAGGCCCGCTGTGGTCAAACCCCCTATGGTCAAAGCCCCTATGGTCAAAGCTCCGCTGTGGTCAAACCCCCTATGGTCAAACCCCCTATGGTCAAAGCACCTGTGGTCAAAGGTCCTAGGACCGAAGCCCAGCAAAACAGAACCAAGGCCGGTGGAGAGGTGTGAGTGCAGCCCTTTGCTCCCCAGGGGCGACACAATATTAAGTCAAAAGACAGATACAACAATCGTGAAAAAAGGTAAGAACGAACTAAATCAGAGTTAGATGTTTACGGACACGTGCTCTTTATCTTCCATCCCGACTGTCCCCTACCACGCCGCTAATCAGGCTAATTAACACAAGGTAATTAAAATTGTTAATGGTATTTTTTTTAACTCGTCAATCTGCAAAACAAGAATAAAAAAATTTTAAACGAATTTCATTTATAGATTATCTTTGTTTCACGTAAAATGAAGAAAACTGACTATAATTTGTATATATCGCAAAAAAGATGTTTATATAGGCTTATAATACAGAATTTTTTCACACAGAACATCGAAAACAAAATATACATTTAAAAATGTAAAATTTAAAAAATAATATCGGAACATTAAAACTAATAGAAGTTGAAGTTGTTCTTTGTGCACTAATTAATTTTATAGCATTAATCACCCGACAACAAGCAGGCATTAACTAGAAATCCTGACGTCAGCTAATTCTTTTTCATTAAAGTCACAAAAACAATTTTTGTTTGTCACAAAACAAAGCAAACGTTTCAATGCAATATACTTGTGTTACATTAAGCCCGTGGCGTCATTAACTGGAGTCACTGCGTCACATTAAGCCGTAGAGATTCACATTTTGTGTCTGAGTGACTCGACATTTACAGACGAGACATGAAGGTGTTGAGAGAAGCTGGGATGAAAATAACGGGGGGAGGGGGGTTGGGAGGGGGTGGAGATGAGCTATACATCAACACGGATGCTCGGCCGACTCCAAGTGGGCGTTCGATGTAATTAAATAAATGCTGACACGTTGAAAATAAATGGTAAAAAAAATTCAATTAAATGCTTTTGAGGATTTTAACCCTTTAATGGCAGTGGTTTGATGAAATGGATTTGAAATTTGTTAGGCCGCTGACATGCGCTTAATTATTTACGTTAGTTTATTTCTGGATGCGAAATCTTTGTGTTTTGTTTTAACTTAAACACAGTTAAACACGAGTGTTAATAAATGATATCTCAGTGAGGTGTGCTGTGTAAAACTTGCACGACTTTACTTTTTGTCGTAGATCACACATGTACGCATAGTAACTTTGCTAAAAAACTAAATATTGAATACACAACACACACACTTACACCCACACACACATATATATATATATATATATATATATATATATATATATATATATATATATATATATATTGTGTGTGTGTGAGTGTGTGCGTATAAATATGTATATATGATATATATGGTGGTATTTATTCATATATATATATATATTTATATATATATATATATATATATATATATATATATATATATATATATATATATATATATATATATATATATATATATATATATATATATATATATATATATAACCGTAACTGTTTGGCTCTTATAAACTAAGCCCCATTATTCTTAGCTCCAAACTTCTCCATTGAACCTTCGTGGGAGACACAGTGCCAATCAAACACTTTTCAGTGCTAATTAAAACCCATCACCCCTCCAGCGGTCCTGATAAACCCCACGTGACCTGCTAGCTTCCACCGGAAACTGGGACGATCTGACTACAGTCTGAACTAAAAACTGGATTACTGCCTGGGACCATCTGACTACAGTCTGAACTAAACACTGGATTACTGCCTGGGACCATCTGACTACAGTCTGAACTAAACACTGGATTACTGCCTGGGACCGTCTGACTACAGTCTGAACTAAAAACTGGATTACTGCCTGGGACCATCTGACTACAGTCTGAACTAAACACTGGATTACTGCCTGGGACCATCTGACTACAGTCTGAACTAAACACTGGATTACTGCCTGGGACCGTCTGACTACAGTCTGAACTAAACACTGGATTACTGCCTGGGACCATCTGACTACAGTCTGAACTAAACACTGGATTACTGCCTGGGACCATCTGACTACAGTCTGAACTAAACACTGGATTACTGCCTGGGACCATCTGACTACAGTCTGAACTAACCACTGGATTACTGCCTGGGACCATCTGACTACAGTCTGAACTAAACACTGGATTACTGCCTGGGACCATCTGACTACAGTCTGAACTAAACACTGGATTACTGAGACCGACAAACTGTTTGGCAATAACAAAAGTATCGATATTTTATTTCGGGGTTTACGGCGATACACTTAACTTTTTTTTTTGGCAATTAATTAACTTTTTAAACTCCCAATAAAGTTCTCTCTATGCCAATCAATATGTTTTTATCAAGTTCAGTTAGCTTACACTCTGATAAAACTTCTAGCTATATATCTGGCTTGTTTTCTGAAATTAAATTTAACTTGAAGAATATTATATATATATATATATATATATATATATATATATATATATATATATATATATATATATATATATATATATATATATATATATATATATATATATAATACGACGATATTATAATCAATTTAATTTTGTTGATATGGGGCATATTATTAACAAAAAATATCTCCGTCGTAGTTGACCGTCTTTGATTGATGTATTAATTATTCTCATTAAATGGATCCAAAGTAAAATAAAAATGTACGTGATTGTACAGAAAGAAACGACAGTAGGGACTTAGTAGACGAGACACGAGCGTCAAATCAATTATTTAAATATAAGCCAAGAGGCCACGTGCGGGCAGCCAGCCAATCAACACAGACCTGTCTCGGATTGGTTTCATCTGGATTGGACAAGGAAGGTCAACTCGGCTGCATGATTTGGTGAGATTAATAGGATAATCTGATAATCTTGTCAGCTTTGGGGATCAGCAACGTCTTCGCGTTAGTTGTATGTGCGTCATCAACAGGCTGGTTTAAGACATTTGTTATATACTTAACAAGCTGGTTTTAGACATGTGTTATATACTCAAAAGGCTGGTTTAAGACAGCTGTTATATACTCAACAGGCTGGTTTAAGACAGCTGTTATATACTCAACAGGCTGGTTTAAGACAGTTGTTATATACTCAAAAGGCTGGTTTAAGACCGTTGTTATATACTCAACAGGCTGGTTTAAGACAGTTGTTATATACTCAAAAGGCTGGTTTAAGACATGTGGTATATAATCAAAAGGCTGGTTTAAGACCGTTTTTATATACTCAACAGACTGGTTTAAGACATTTGTTATAAGGCTGTTTGATTCATTACGTACACTATCAACACTGCTCATGCCATTTATCACGATGTTATATTTTATTCTCTATAATCTGTTGTTATTTAAATTCTGATTGTTTAAATATTTAGATTTCAATAATTAAAATTAGGTTATTTAATTTTCTGTGTATAACATTCATCACGTAAATCCACCTAACTGGTTTTGTATTTAAAAATTAATTTGAGTAAGTCACGAATTCCT